TCAAGTTGTTTCCTTTTTGTTTTTGTTCAGACGCCAAAGGCTTTAAAGGGAAACCGGGCAGTGGGTGGAGTGGGTTGAACCCAGGCTTCCCTCTGACTGGCTTAGGCCAATGTACGCTTGTGAATAGGCAACCAAAGGGAGACTGGGGCCATTCTGGATTTGGGTCCACATGTGAGACAAGCCTGGTTTCAAGGCACCCATGGTTAGAACATTCTCATCCACCGGTCGTTTAAACTCATGTTGGCCAATTCTGGATCCAAAGACGACCTTTTAACCTTTTGCTTGTCCCTTTTTGCCCAATTCAAGTAGCTGCGAAAGTGATCACATGGCTGTTTAAGCCATTGTTCAAGGAGCCTTATCCCTTTAAATGAATTAGACCAGGGACCGGTTGTTTCAACAAATCTTGCAAAAAACCTGCGTAGCGGTGCGCAACACATCCCTGACGCACTTTTCGCCGGTCCCAGATCCCCAAAAAGTCGGTTCCGATGTTTGCTTCCTGAAAGAAGCATAGGATCTTTATGGCAAAGTTAGTAGAACTACACGTGAATGGGTTGTGGGGCACTTCTGATGTTTGGTCAAAGTCCCACAAGTGAGTTATAGTAGTCAACCAGATCACCGCCTGCCCTGGTTCCATGCGGGAGCAGTTGCTACATTGGGCAATATTTAGTTGCCTAAAGCTGAATTTGCTCTGCTTTTGGTTGTCCCTGACCAGGGACCGGTTGTTTCAACAGATCTTGCAACCCCTACGCGGGAACACACCCCTCGCCCCATTTCGCGCGTTTGCGATGTTCGCTGCTTTTCGGAGAGGTCCGCTTTGGGATCGAGTTCTGGGTATGCATGTGTCACAATAGGGGTACCCCCAAAATGGTCGCCGTCCCTTTGGTGCTCCTTTCAACCAACCGGTGCCCTCAGACAAACAAAAAGGCCACAGGGCGCCAGATCTTGCGAAAGCTCGGCGACAGTGCGTCGAGATAAGGACTCAGAGAAAAAGCACCTGGGTGCAAAGTCTATGTTCGCAAGGCAAGTCTGCCAACCTAGTTTGATAGGGCGACAACAAGTACATGTATATGTATATATATATATATATTATATTATATACAGCTCCATAGCCATGTAAGTAGAACACAAGTCACTGGGTTTGTGGGCGCTTCTGATGTTTGTGAAAGTCCTACTGGTTTCACGAGGAGTTGGAACGATGCAGAGGAATAGCCTAGGCTTCCCGTCCAAGGCTCCATGAACCTTAAGACCCCCAGGATTTGATTCCTGGTCCATTCTGTTCAGTCCTTTTATCAATCCTCCGCTGCTTCCGGTCTTTATGCTGGGTGGACACGACATGCCGCAAAATGAATCGAAACACGACGGGATCGAATCTTTTTGGAGGGCTTTGGCTCGAGCGAGTCTCTCTCAGCCCTCGACATGGTCCGCGACTCGAGGCGTGGGCATCAGGAGCCGAAGGCGCCGCCTGATATTTTTTCCTGGATCTGGATAGATTGAGCGCGTACCCATTGCTTCAATTCATGCTGGCCCGGCGCCTGGGCTGCTGGTTTGATGTGGAAATGGTGCAACGGAAGGAGTAGGTGAGCTGGCGATGAGCAACTATCTCAAATCGGATTTCCCGACTATATGTCCTTCCTGAAAGAAAGAGCCTTGAGGCTGCCTTTCTTCAGCCAGCACGTGAGTGGGCCGGCCAGTGGGGTGGAAGACAGTCGACCTGTCTCTGTGTTAAAGTTCTATTCGAAGCTATCAATTCGAAAGCTTTTGCTTCCGGGTTTGGGCTGGCGGACTTTTCCTTTTAAAGTTCCATTTGAAAAGCTATCAATTTGAGAGCTTTTGCTTCCGGGTCTGGGCTGGCGGACTTTTCCTTTTAATGTTCTATTCGAAAAGCTATCAATTCGAACGCTTTTGCTTCCGGGTTTGGGCTGGCGGACTTTTCCTTTTAAAGTTCTATTTGAAGAGCCGTTCTTTGGGTTTCTATTGGTTTGCGACGCGCGATCCAATAGAAACTCAGCGCTTGTTTTGAGTTACAGGCTTAGAGATGCTGAGAGAGTCATCTCAGTCCTCGCAGTTGCAGCCGCACGTGCTTGGAGTTAAGCTTTGTGGAGGCTGTCCTGCTTGGAATATGAGGAATACTAAGTCTCATTGCAAGGATCGTCGTGTTTCCTTCACCTGACCAAAGCACGAACTGATGCTGAGGGCAGACGAAGTTCCGGCAGTGCAGCTGGCTTGCGCACGTGGTCGCAGCTTTTGTGTTTTGAGCCACAGCATTGGGATGTAATGGACTGATGCCCACCTGGCCTCGAATCTTGGGTCGAATGGCCTATCGCAGTCTTATTTGTGGCTGGACTTCAAGGTAGGAATCGACAATCCAATGGCGCTATTGACCAACCTTGACGAAGGTTGGCATGAGAAGCAACATGCGGCGGGTCAATGGGCATGTTGCCCTGAGCCAGTGGTGAAGCGACTTCACGCCCGGAGCTTTGTGAAGTTGCGCGAGTCTGAAGCTGAGCGGTCTGGAGGCCGCAAGAGGAGCTTTCAAGGCGGCTCATAGTCACGAACCTGAGCGGCCCAGCGCATTCCTGGCTTTTCTGCCTGGATACAGGTTGCTTGCAATGGGACATCTTCAGGCTCTTGAGTGGCTTTCAGAGCATGGCCAGCCGGCAACCTGTTTGCATGGGCGGCATGGCTTCCCGAGGTGGCTTCATGTGAGAATGACACGCTTCTTTCAGTGTTTGTACTCCGGCCATGTCGTGCTTGCTGAACACTTGCAAAGTGGCTGCCAAGCCTTTGCGCAAAAAAAACACACAAGGCGCGGCAGTGTGGGCGTAATCTCTGCTCTCCATTGCATCCACCTTTAAACATTGCTCCTTGATGACTTTTTTCTTTTTGGATTAGGAAGAAACGCACACATATGCCACAGGGAGCTTAGTGTTGCAGGGAGCTTAGTGTTTGCGGCTCTCAGGCCGCACCATGTGATGGAGAGTTGGCCCAACCGCTGTTGATATATTTTCATGGGTGTTGGCCCCTTGCTGTTGAACATTTAAGCATGTGTATGTGTGTGTGTGTGGCCATCCCTCATTTTGAGAGTTGCCCCCCCCCCCCCCCTCAACAACTGCTTGCTCCAATGTTTAAATTCTCAAATGCTGTCCAACAATAAGCATCCCTTGAGGGGTTGGACGGTTGGACATTGGAATAAAGCAGGGTGCATGTGTCATTTCAATTGGAGAAAAAACACCAATGCATAACAGGTCTAGCAAACATATGAACTACTTTGCTTTGGGAAGCACCGCGCGAGTGTGTGTGTGTGTGTTTGCAGATTGAATGCCTGGCAGTAGCCCGGAAGCAAGGCGTGAAACAAATTGCTGACTGGGCGGCAGTTGGGCCTGGTAGCTGGACCGATGCTTGAGACTATGCGGGGATTTGAACCTCTGGTTCCTGCGTTGTGCCTCCAGCTTCTTATTCGAAATGCCCAACGCCCACTGGCTCGATATGCCGCAGTTCCCATGTATGTCCAAGGGCCAAGACTTGGCCCCAGAAGATTAGACGCGACTCATTTGGTCTTAACCCCAGCGCTGGAATGGAATCCTGGGAGTGAAAGTCATAGTTTATCACCACCAACTTGCCTTTGCACCAGGGTGGGACTTGGGGTCCTACACAATACCAGGGAACCTCCCTCTTCCTGAGGCGGGTGTGTGTGTGTGTGTTAAAATGAGGGGTCCTTTTTTTTTTCTCTCGCATCCCCTTCAGGCGGCACAAGGCGGCAGGGTCCAAAGAAATGGCAGAGATAGTCATTTGGAAGGGCCTACCTGTCCAAAGCCGAGTTTTAACCTTTTGGTTGGTCTATTTCTACCAGCCGCCAGAAGTGATGGTCCTATTCCAGGTGCTTTGGGCAAGCGAGAGGCTTGCTGCAACCAGCGTTGAGCAACCTGCTTTGGTTTCCTCAGGGAGTTGGACCAGGGCCAGGTCTCACAGACCTGCCACGAAACAAATTCACATCCCTCGCAACGCTCGCTCGCGTTTTTGCCGCGCTTTCGCCGCGAGTGCGTGCGTATTCAGAGGCGGACCGCCTCTGCGCGCGCTTGCTGCCGCTGTGCCTGGAGCGCGGCGGGGTGTGGCATTTCAAGCTGCCGGAGGCTTGAGAGATGGAACCTCAGCGAGTGGACGTGAACCCTCAAATTGGACGCCCACCGCAGGGCCCCCTTCTGAGAATTGTGAAAATTGATTCATACCCATTTCACTTTTGAGGGCGCTCAGATTGGAAGCGGAGCAGTGGGCGAGCTTCGTGTTGCATTGCGTCGTCAAGATGCCGACTTCCCAGCCACAGAGGGATTGATTGGGGAAAACCCGCCGCTTGACCCGTATCCCGGCAAGCCCCCGGTCGAGATCGGCATTTTTGAATCCACCTGACACCATTCAGAGGGTGCCTGGAAATTCTTGCCCGAAGTCTCTTCAAAATTGGGTGTCTCAACGTTCGGACTCCTAAAATGGGCTTCTTGAAAGCCGTACCCAAATTATGTTACATGTTGGGGAAGAGTACACATATAGACCGTAACCTGAAAAACAGAATTTGGGTGCACCCCGGATGTGGGACCGTCTCGCCACCACCTTCCAAAATTGGGATACTGAATCCGGCGCCGACACCTATGAGGGTCCAAAATGGAGGTCCTTTTGCATGCAAATGTTTGGGCAAGGATTGTCATGGCTTTGTGTCTCCCCATTCTCTTCCAGCGACCGCAAGCAACTAAAGTGTTAGGAACACCAAAGCCAGGTCAGCTGGAAGATGCAGGTCAAGACGTTCGATTGGTTCTGATCCTATCGGCATTTTAAGGGCAAGGTTCCCTATCCCGGAATCTCTGAATTGTCCTGGTGGTTCTAAACATATATCGCCTGGGCAACATGGATCAAAGTGAGTTTCCTTTTGGGGTGTAAGGGGAAACATAGGGAGCATCAATCTCGGCCTGGACCTTTCCAAGCCCAGGCTGAATTTCTACACCACCGTGCGCATGAAGCAATCCCGCTACGAGGCGTTGCTTAGAATGTGCCGGGTACCACGAAACCAAACTACCTCACGGGAGAGAATGAGTTTCCGTGCGTGCTCAGGCCCTGACTTTGCCCCTGAACTTGCCTTTTCTGCAAAATGGAGGGTATGGGCATCAGCTTTTGGGCTCATGAAACGTGAGCTTCCTTTCGGCGGGGTGCTTCGGGAAGCATTGTGTACCCCCGTGATGGAGAAGAACAAACATTTTGGAGGGGCCGAGTCCCAGTTTCGACACTTCCCAAATTTGTGCCGTTGCATCAAACAAAAGGCGGTCGTGTAGAGTGGCTAAAAGCCTTTGGCATGGGATTGAGTTGACGTGTTGCCAATCTATACCCTGCCACTAACATGGGGAATTTGCACAGAGGCTCCCTTTTAGAGGAACCTTCTCTTCCAGGACCCACAGATAGGCATGTTAGTGTGGGAGGGTACTAGTTTGGTTTGCAAGATGTCCACTTCCAAGCAACCAGCTTCACACAGGGCTCCTTAAAAGATACATTTTGCCCGTTTGAAACATGGCTTTTTCCACCAAAATAAAGGGAAACCACCATGTACAAGGCAATGTTCAGGTGTATAATGTAAGGATCCCTGTCACATACTTGTGTTGTCGGGGGACCCTAAACGTTCTAGTAAACTGGTTTCACTCGCTGGCACCAAAGGGCAATTCGCTGTTTTTCCGCCGAAAGGATCCCATTTGTGATCAAACCCATAGGCTTCGCCGTCTCTGAAACCGGGTTGAGGGCCCCAGTCGCATCAGCCCACCAGGTCACCCAATTTAATGCGCTAATCATAGCTTCATGGGTTGGATCAGGAAGCGCTGGAGATGTACAAGGCACCTGAGTGACGGAAACCGTTCTGTGGGTTGGGGTTACAAGGTGCCCCTTATCTGAAGATGTCTGCGTGTTTTTTTGTTTTTAATGAAAGGGCTACTCTTTCAGGTTGGTTCGCAAAACCAAGAAAGGAACATCACAACTTTTAGGGTCTCCCCATTTTGACGCATACTCAAATTCAATGTTAATGTTTGAACCACTAGTTTGGAATCCCCAACCCACTAACAGTGGATGACGCACATTTGGATCAATCACCACACAAATGGTCCTCCAACTCGAGTTTGGGGGCAGGGTCTGGCCACTATTGTTTGGAGAGCTTCTTTTGGTTTTACGTTGAAGGGGACAAGGGGTTGGTTGAGGTTGGTGGTTTAGATTAAAATTTGCGTCACCCTGTTCTGTCCTTTCGGCAAGCATGGGACATGGGCGACACGCTTGATTTGCGGGGGAGTGCGGGGCTTTCCGCCAGGGGCCGATGAAGGGTGAGCAATGTCAATGGGTGAGCAATGTCAATGGGTGAGCAATGTCAATGGGTGAGCAATGTCAATGGGTGAGCAATTACTGAGGTTGTTGCTGCAAATACCAGGCCTTGCCCACTCAGCTCTTGCGAAAATTAAAGCAAGTTGGCAACATGCGTTCCATGGCCAGGCAACGGAGGGAATGTGACCATTCAGAGTTTCCACTTAGGAGGGCATTCGGCTGATCTTCCAGAAGTGAGCCTAGCACCTCTGCCAGCCAATTCGTCCCCACGTCAGCTGAGTCATCCACGTTGAGATCGATGAGCCGCCCTTGGGAGCGAAGCCCCGGACCCACGAAAATTGGGTCTCGCGAAGCGCCCCTCTTTAGACCCACCTTTTGGTGACGTGGAGCGTGGAGCGTGTGCCGATCGCGAGGAGTACGAGACTCTCATCAAGTTCTCCCCGGAGGAGGCGCCCGCATCCAGCCCTTTAGGCCGCCTTTTACAATTGGGCCTAAGACAATTGGTTTGCGGATGGTCTCACTCCCTGAGTTCCTGCACTTTAAACTTTTTGGGGTTGGACCATTTTGGTGGTAAACCAAAAGTTCAGACTTGTTTTGGCCAATCCACGGAAGTCAGTTCTGATGAGGCTGCCTTTGGGGCAGTTCGATGTTGCAGTGCAGTCTGCTGCTATTTTTCGGCGATGGCTGTTCCGTCTCAGTGTCTTGGTGGCGTCCCAGTGGTGTCGGGTCAGTGCTTTGTTCCGGCAGTGTTTCGGTTGGTATCGCGGTGGTGTGCCTGTGCCGTCCGGTGTTGTTTTAGTTGCTGTTCCAGGTGGTCGTGGTGTCCCAACTGTATCCCAGGTAGTGGCAAGATGGTGCTCTGCTATTGGGGTTTGTCGTTGGGATAACTAACTTTTCAGGTGGGCTGCACTGCAGTAGGCCACCCAGATGTTGTTGTGTGTCTTGCCTGCTGAGCTGAAAGTTCCGAGCGCGACGTAGTCCTGAGAATTAAATAGGAGAGCGAACAATGATACTAGCACGCCCCACTTCCTCCAAGAATGGTTTTCCAAACCCTAAGAGCTGCTTTTCAGGGGTTTGGAAGGCGTTTGGATAGAAATCTACAGACCCGACCCCGACGCCGGTCTCTTCACATCGACTCCGGAGTGTTGAGGCATGGGAGCTCTATGACACGGTCTACCGTCGGGCCGCCAAGTTTTCTTGGGAACACTCTTCAACGATTGGTTGACAAATCCCTGTGTGCCTTTCTTCGAAGGAACCCCTTGTTGGTTGGTTTTACACGAATCCAAAAGGACAACCACCAGATGCACGGGAGAAGCTTCACCGTGCGTTCCTTCCCAGCACAACGTTACGCAAGGCAAGGGAGTTGGCATTCTAATTCATAGCTGTTGCAATTCCAGGAATCAGCCCCGGAGTACGATCCCTTCGATCCTTTTTCAAGATAGGGGGAAACACCTGGTTTTTGCGGCTTGCCAACAGAGGTGCAGTTGCTTGCAGCCCGAAATGGGCTTTGGTTTCCCATGAGCTTCCAGTTTTTGCAACCTCAAAGTGCGCCAACTCCGAGCATCTGAAAGGTGTACCAAGTCCATCCATCGGAGCCACATAAGTTGAGGCAACTTCGGGTGGATCTACACGAGCCTCCATGACTACGACCAGGTCCAGTCAGATCGGATGGGGGGTGGGAGTGGAGTGTGAGTAGGGTGGAATTGGGGGAGTTGGGGGGGTTGGTGGAGTTGCAGAGGGGGTTTGGAGTGGAGTTGGAGTGGAGTTGGAGTGAAGTCGGGCGGGGTTAAGGTGCAGTTGGAGTGGACTTGGGGTGGGTTTGGGTCGTCCACCGTTCGCGCTCTGGCACTGAAGGCAGAGGTCTGCGTAAATCGACCACAATTCAGCCGCATTCATACCAGTGCTTCTATGTTCGCCATTCGGGAGCCAGAGGAACCAGCACGATATCATTTGGGGTGAAACCTGCTGGTTTCCCTTGGCGCCCAAGCGAAGGGGGTTCGCGGGTTCGAAGGCTTCGCCGCCCTGTTCCGAGGCCCTGGAGTATTTCGAGAAGTGCGTCAGCGTGAAGCGCGACCATGGCGCCAGAGACGCAGAGCGCGGCAATCGAACGTCGAGGCGTTGTTGCGACCGGGGCGAGCTAGGGAAATTGGATTCTTAGATGAACACCAGAGTCTTATAGATAAAGCCAAGAGGACCGCTCAATATCTAACTATCGGAAAACCCCCACCCCTTTTCACAGGGGCACCGCCAAAGAGATGGGGTGAGTGTATGGAAGGAAAGCCGTATGGAACACCTGATACAACGCGAAGTATGAATCGGCTCCCTTCAAATTGCAATGGTTTCATTTTGGCGCCCGTTGCCGACTTACCAGTTGTTTACTTAATGGCACCCGAAACTCTGATACATCGATACATGCCCATTGAGCATTTGCCGAACAACTGAACTCCCCAACCCCAACAAGCCCGAACCTGGCGAATATCCTAAACTCCGGCCCCAAAAGTCCCACATCCCGATTTCCAAATCCCAACACCCAAACCAACGCCCAAACAGCGCCTGCCTTAGGTGAGCCCCCAAGGCGCATCCATCCGAGGTGAGCCCCCACTGGTTCGACCAATGGGACCTGGGCAAGACCCACGCGCGTCTCTCACTGCCTCGGGGCCTGGAACCTTTGCGATGTCAGGGGGGTCCTTCGAAATGAACCGGCAACATGGGCGCGTGCATTTTTGAGTTGGTACCCCTTCTTTGGTGGGTTTTAAGGGAAACCAACAGGAACATCGAAATCCATGTTGGAGGGTCCCCTCAAAAAATTCCGAAGTTTGGCGAGTTTTTCTGTCTGTGCTGTCAGGATGACATGTCGCCCCCGGCCCCCTGTCTTCATGACAAACCTGAGAAACCTATTGATTAATCATGGGGTTGTCTTTTTCTTGGGGTATCCCCTCCTTTTTTTCAAGAGAAGCCAAAAGGATGCCACCTATTTAGCAGGCTGACGCCTGATGCCGCCGACCCCCAATGGATTGCTATTGTAATCGTAGCATCCCTTGCATCGCAAGCGGGCGTAGCTTTTGATTTCGTTTTTCTAGATGACGACCGTCACCATGCTGATGATGATGATGATGATGAGGATGAGGATGAGGATGATGAGGATGAGGATGCTGAGGATGAGGATGCTGATGCTGGATGAAGCTTTTTTCCGTGAGAAGGCGGGTTACGAGGTGCGAGGTCGACCCTTAATTTCGCGAGGTGGCTTGTTTGTTTTTTTTGAAAAAATCGAAAAAAAAGAGGGGAAAGAAGACACAAGTAACTCGAAGGTGTACTAAAGATGGACTGGATCTCCTCGAAATATTGGATCACAGAAAAGTGTACCAGAATGAAGATCACCCAACCATAAAAACAAGGGTACCAGATAAGATAGGCAACGAAAGCCGTAAGCAAGAAAGAGAAAGGAAACAATGGGATGGTCTGCAATATAAGATAATAAGATCTCAGGGGTGAAACGTCCGAGGCTCAGGTCGGAGGTTGAGAGCAACTTTCGAAGACAAAGAAGGCAGGTTCGATGATGATGCGACGATGAGGATGATGATGCTGATGGATAATGAATGATGATGATGATGATGATGCTGGATGACGACGATGATGGTGATGCTGATATGCATGATGATGATGATGATAATGATGCTGATGATGATGATGATGATGCTGGGGATGATGACGCTGATGATGATGATGATGGTGCTGATGACGACGATGATGATGATGATGGATGATGATGATGGATGATGATGATGATGATGAGGATGATGATGATGATGATGATGATGGATGACGATGTGATGATAATGGATGATGCCTTTTTTGTCAGCCTTTTCACGGAAACAAGGCAGCTTTTGCATCCCCAGCTTCACCAGCATCATCCTGCAGGTGCCTGGGGTGATGCTTTGCATGCTGGGGATGCGGGAGCTGCCTTTTTGGTCTTGGAGACCCGGGAAAAAAGGCAGCTGTTGCATCCCCAGCTTCACCAGCATTATCCTGCAAGTGCCTGGGGTGATGCGTTGCATGCTGGGGATGCGGGGGCTGCCTTTTTGGTCTTGGAGACCCGGGAAAAAAAGCAGCTGTTGCATCCCCAGCTTCACCAGCATCGTCCTGCAAGTGCCTGGGGTGATGTTACGTCTGCGCGGGATGCAATCATCCATCGTCAGCTTCCCGTAGTCTTCCCGTAGTCTTCCGTCAGCTTCCCATAGTCTTCCGTCATCTTCCCGTAGTCTTCCGTCATCTTCCCGTAGTCTTCCGTCATCTTCCCGTAGTCTTCCGTCATCTTCCCGTGGTCTTCCGTCATTTTCTCATCCCGTAGTCTTCCGTCATCTTCCCGTAGTCTTCCGTCAGGTGTAGTCTTCCGTCATCTTGTCTTGCGTCATCTTCCCGTAGTCTTCCGTCATCTCCCGCAGTCTTCCGTCAGCTTCCCGTGTAGTCTTCCGTCATCTTCCCGTAGTCTTCCGTCATCCTTCCGTCAGCTTCCCGTAGTCTTCCGTCATCTTTCCGTAGTCTTCCCATCATCTTCTATCCTCACGGTTAGAGGTTAAGGTTAGAGGTTAGGGTTAGAGGTTAGGGTTAGAGGTTAGGGTTAGAGGTTAGGGTTAGAGGTTAGGGTTAGAGGTTAGAGTTAGAGGTTAGGGTTAGAGGTTAGAGTTAGAGGTTAGGGTTAGAGGTTAGGGTTAGAGGTTAGGGTTAGAGGTTAGGGTTAGAGGTTATGGTCCCCGTAGTCTTCCGTCATCTTCCCGTCATCTTCCCGTAGTCTTCCGTCATCTTCCCGTAGTCTTCCGTCATCTTCCCGTAGTCTTCTGTCATCTTCCCGTAGTCTTCCGTCATCTTCCCGTGGTCTTCCGTCATTTTCCCGTCATCTTCCCGTGTCTTCCGTCAGCCTCCCGTCATCTTCCCGTAGTCTTCCGTCATCTTCCCGGCCATGGTCTTCCGTCATCTTCCCGTAGTCTTCCGTCATCTTCCCGCAGTCTTCCGTCAGCTTCCCGTGTAGTCTTCCGTCATCTTCCCGTAGTCTTCCGTCATCTTCCCGCCCTCTTCCGTCATCTTCCCGTCAGCTTCCCGTAGTCTTCCGTCATCTTCCCGTAGTCTACCGTCATTTTCCCTTAGTCTTCCGTCATCTTCCATTCTTCCCGTAGTCTTCCGTCATCTTTCCGCACTCTTCCGTCATCTTCCCGTCAGCTTCCCGTAGTCTTCCGTCATCTTCCGGTAGTCTTCCGTCAGCTTGCCATAGTCTTCCGTCCTATCGGTTAGAGGTTAGGGTTAGAGGTTAGGGTTAGAGGTTAGGGTTAGAGGTTAGGGTTAGAGGTTAGGGTTAGAGGTTAGGGTTAGAGGTTAGGTTAGAGGTTAGGGTTAGAGGTTAGGGTTAGAGGTTAGGGTTAGAGGTTAGGGTTAGAGGTTAGGGTTAGAGGTTAGGGTTAGAGGTTAGGGTTAGAGGTTAGAGTTAGAGGTTAGGGTTAGAGGTTAGGGTTAGAGGTTCGGGTTAGAGGTTAGGCGTGTCAAAAATCCGCCGCGGCACCCCCCCTCCCCCCTCAGACTCCCCCTAACCACCACTTAGAACACGCCTCGCCCCTTTGCAGAGACTAACTTGGCTTTTGCAAAGGGGTCGGCGGATTTTGCGGGTACCCCTATTTTGACACACCCTGATAGCATTTTGTGCCGAACTCTTAAACCTGTGGCAGAAGGACAACTTTCATCTGTCTCCGGATGAATCAACCTTGGATGGTCCCAATCGGCATTTGACCCAACCTGAATTCATGAAGAACAACCAGGTTTCTGGATTTATTGAGGACGCGGACCTAAAAGGTATACAGGTGATGTTTGAAGCCCACCAAGACTTAACACTTTTTTTTGTACCCCCCGACTTGGCCCAAAGGCCGCCTGGTTTGCTGGTTGGGAGGGTCTTAAAAGAATCCATGCGCACGGTTGGCCTTTCAGATCCCTTTTCGGATGGCCTTTGATTCTCTGTGGGGGGGGGCCACATAGCCACATTTGCCGGGCCCAGAAAGCCAAAAGATAACAGGGATCAAAGACACAAGCTTTCAGTTGCCATGGCAAGTAACCAGAGGACACCATGCAAAAACCTGTGTGTTTGGCAAAGCCTGGTGCAGAGTTGGGCCCTCTTAGAGTTGGGTTTGCCGTGGACTAGGTACGAAGCAGACTCTGAACATGTTATTTTCCCAGGGCTCAGCACTGTGCTCAGTGTATTTGGGCCTTAGGGGTCGGACCCTCCCTAGGGTTTTTTGGGCATCTGGCTTACCCAGTCGCGTTGAGCCGAGGCAGCGGAGCCGGCCGGAGGGCCTGTCCCTGGCAGCCCGCCTCATCCGAGAGGCGCTGGACATGCACCGCCGAGAGCTTGGTCTCGGCGGCGCTTGGACGCTGGTCGCGTTGAAGCGGTCCGTTTGTTTTTCTTTGTTGCTTTTTATGTTTACCACGGAAAAGACATCATTCCCTGCTTATCATTTCTAGTGCTGGACAATTCGGTGTGTCCGCGGAGCCACCCATTTTGCGGCTTCGATTTAGAGAAAGTCTAAGGAAAGCAACGAGCAACCGCCGAGCCCATTTGGGATAGAAGTTGCGAGCCTATCTACCATGGCTCCAGCGCAGTTGTCCACGATTGTGCAAGTTAGGATTCACACTCGTAGATGGGTTTGTCTTCAAATGGCGGGAACTCGTGAAATTTTGGTGGGTCCCCCTTGGTGTCCCTAGCGTACAGACAACTTCATTTGCTTAAGAGGATTGCTTATTTTTCTCTCGTTGGTTTTGAAGGAAACTAATTACCAAGAAACAAGTTCTGTTGTTTTCAGGGGACTGAAGCAAATGAAGGACTACCTCAAGTCGTACGCCCAGCCGAGGTATCGCAGAGTCCGTGCCCCGGACGTCCAATTCTTGCCGTTTTGCTGGTCGGATGAAGCTGAGACTCTCAAAAAAAGAACGGGCTTTGGAAAATGAAATTGTGACCAGTTGATGAAGGTGTCTCATTTGTCGGAGATCCCTTAAATAAGGGAATCTCCTAAATTACAATAGGTAACCAGATGGAGTTGAGCTTGTGATGCGGGCTTGAGAGGCCTGAACAAACGGCATCAAAAGAGCTGGAGTTTGTCAGCTTCGGATGAACCCAGAGCTGCATGCAGTCCCGCTTTTTGGGGAAACCAGTCCTTTTTGTAGGAATCGAGCCTCCAACATGGAGGGTGGTCCGGTTGGTGTCCTATTAAAATCGCAAAGAACGGGTAAACTATTATTCTTACATATATACATATATATATATATATTATTATATTATATTATATTATATTATATTATATTATATTATATTATATTATATTATATTATATTATATTATATTATATTATATTATATTATATATATATAGATTAGTGTGCGTTGATGCATGTCTAACCATCAACCTTGGTCCCAAGCAGGCCTGATGACCTCATCATGCGCTGCAAGATGCTGAACTCAGCCTCTCGGCATTTCGAATGGTTGAACCGGAGCCTCCTTTGGATGAGCTTTTCTTTTATCTCGAGAGACTAAGTGGATGGATTTTAGCCCCCCCCCCAAACAAAACAAGAAGAGCGGGGGGAGTTTCTTTCTGGTTTCCCCTTTTAAGCCACCTAAAAAGGGAATTTGGATGCATGCAGTTGTGTTTCTTTCTGTCTGGGAGTGCAACAGTAGTCAGCTGCTCCTCTTCCTGGTACTGTGACCTCGTGTTGGGCCTATGTGTTCTCAGGGACAGCCAACATGACTCCTGAACAATTGATAAGCAGGTGTGGAGGAAACTTGATTTCAAGGGATTCCAACCTTCCCTTTTGAAAGCTGCCAATGTATGTTGTTTGATGTGCGCTTTGTCACACCTGTTGATGTAGCTGCTTGGGGATGTGATGCCAGAAGAGAGTGAACAATTTGTTTGCCCCGACAGGGCCATTGGGACAAGGTAATCAAAGTTAGGTGCCCCGTGTGTGCTGTTGTTTCTCTGGTGGGAGAGCGTCTGACGTTTAATGGGGAAGACCCTCCCCCCCTCCCCGGCACGCGACAGCCTTTAAGACAAGAGATCAGGGGATCTCCGGACAAGATGGGGTGATCCGGGGCTTTCTTGTATTTGAGGTTAGGAAAGTAAGAATGACTCCGAAATCATCAGCCGGGTGGATGAAGGTTAGTGAGGGACACTCCCAACATAAATACGTGCGTCCACCTTGGTAACTCTTTACATGGGTGTGGGTTCGCCATTTTTGTACCAGGTGTTGATTGTGACTCTGCTCTTATCTTGAAGAGAAACTGGACTGTGGCAGTTTTCAACTGTATCCCACGACAGGCCGGGGAGTGCCTCATGGTGCGCGGAGACTTCTGTGCAGACTCTGGGGAGGACAGCTGGGATTCCACTGGCGCGGGGAGTTTTCCAGCCATAAATTGGTGCAGCGATCCGTCCTTTTGATTCGCTACATGGTATTGGGTAGATGACTTTGGTACCAAGTCTGTTTTTTCATGACTCAGCTGCGTGCAAGCGAGAAACGACCAGCATGCTGTATGGGCAACATATTGCACCAGTTGGTGGGCGGTTCGCCCAAATGGATAGGGTTTTATCCCTCCTAACTGGTTCAGGAGTTTGTCCTTCCGAAGTAGCTTGGGACAAACTCCAACAACTCGCAACTAAGACCCCGAATATGATAAAGTCTTCCGAGTGCTTTGTTAAGAAGGGTTTTGTGCTGTTAGTACCCCTTGGTACAAGAATTTGGTCAAGTAACGGGGCCAATTTTGTGCGAATAACAAGTGACCGCGGCAAGAGGAGTCTGTTTGAAATGGGCCCTTTTCAAGTGCAAACAAATCATTTGGAGAGGAGTTCTGTATGGTCGATTCCTAACATAGGTGAAGCGGATGTTGACAGGTGTTGACATTCGCTGAGTTGCAAAGTCAGGCCTGAGCAATCGGGAAGTGAGCTAAATTTGCATTGCATCTCCTCCAACATTAGTTTGCATTTTCGGGCAGCCATCTTCAAGTCATAATTTGTTGCGCGCCCCTTTCGGCGCAGGATGCAAGCAATGATGAAGGAACCCCAGGTGAGCCATCAATGAAACGGGGAGATGAAGCTTACAATTGGGTGTAGCAGGCGATTCTCCCAGTCAGAAATAAGAGCCGATATACGTCCTTGATTCTCAAAATGGTTTTGGGTAGACCATGTTAATAACAGGTTTTGATTATGACCAGATCCCAGGGTGATGGTCAGAGTTTCTCAGAGATGTGAGGGCAAATTGTTTTTCTTTTTTCCAGCGCTACGCTTTTGGGTTGCCATGTTCAATGAGCTTCCTTGGCGGGGTGATGTGTGTTCATGTGCTTTCAGGAAATATAGAGGGAGCCTTGTGCGGCAGTTGCCATCCATCAATCTTTCCGCACTTTGGACTTTTTGCCGAGCTGGCGATGGGGAATCGTGTTTCCTGTAAAGGGAAGTGCGCATGACTGCTAAAGATGTCATTGCCACTGTGGCAAATGGAAGTGATCAATCTGACCTGATTGTCTCCCCCCCCCCCCAAACAGGGCTCCCCATAGAACCCCCCATGGCTTGTTTCAGGCACCACTGGCTGGGCCCATTTGACCATTTGAAGGGAGCTTCCTCTAAGCGGCGCCCGCTTTTTGGACAGTCCCTGAAGGCTGCTTCGAAAATGGGTTCAAAGGGCTGAGCGCCTGGCTCGTCCTTCACCTGGGGGACTTCCTCGCCTCGAGGCGCGGCGCTGCTATGATGAGTCCATCGAGCTGCACGAGGAGTCTTACCAGCTCTACATGCAGGCCCGTCCAGTCCACCAGACCCGTCCCAGACGTCCCGAAAGGATACCGATACAGGCCTCTGAGACACGTGCTACATGGGCATGCGGCATGTGTGTTTGATTTTGTTTTCGGAGTTGGTGTGAAGGAAACGAAGCCAACCAGAGTATTGTGAATCGGGGAATCACCCCTGAGGGGTGAACGTGCCGTGGGGCTGTGCTTTTGGATTGCACTACTTGCAGGCATCAGTATGGGTTTTCGGATACTTCGAACAAACAGGTTGCAACCGGGCATGTCGTGTTTGTTTCTTCTTCTTTTTTTGAAGGCATGGCTTCACCATCAGACCCTTGAATACTCCGAAGCAAGCAGGTGGAGTGAAGGGCAAGCAGGCCCTAGGGCATGTTTCGGATTCTTTTCGAGAGTTTGGCGTGTCCTGGCTCCGGGGGGGGGGGGTTAAGGGAGACCAACAGGAAACTCACCACCCCTAAACACCCCGAACTAAAATGGATGTACATGAAGGCGCATAAGCCCTATAGGCATGCCTGTCCATGGGGGTTGGTTTGCAGGTTTGTAGTTTTGCGGGGCCATAGATGCCCCTCAACATAAGAGACACCCAGGAAGTCTTCAGTCTTCAGTGGGTTGCCTTTGCATAGCAAACAGAGCCGGCGCACAATGAAGGCTGAATGGTGAAAGTGTGTACCATCCATGGATAGAGGATCCTTGCGGGCTTTTGTGCCTCGGTCTCTCGCTGATCACGCCTTGCCCTGGGCTCAGAATGCCGTATTGAGAACCCGACGTTTGACATGATCTGGGAGGTCATAGTACAGGATGCGCATGCTGGCCTCTGGACATTTCCGCCACGCATGGAGTTCCCATGCAGGGGTGTCCGGCCAACAAGTACCGCAGGGCACTAGGGCAGCAGGGTCGATGCAAGAGGCAGCATCACTCCCTCAGTGTAGTTCAGATGTTTCTCGCAGCTTCTTGCTATGCCAAAAACATCTTCACCCAAACAGGATTCGGGTGTGTCTCAAAACAGGAAACTTCCAGAGGGGGTAGTCTTTCCTCGTGAGTTTGAACCAACCCCAAGCAGGGTACCCTCTTGACAACCCACACGCGCACACACACACACACACACCGTCAGCTTGAAAGACGCTTTTTCCCCATTGTTGCCCTTTGCGAAAAGTAATTTCCTGTTGCAAGGGGAGCCCCAACATTTAATTTCCTGTTGCAAGGGGAGCCCCAAGAATCATTGGGACATCTTTGGGGAGCCTTTCACACAACCCCAAACAGTGGTACCCATAAGACAAACGTGAAGGCACCCATTCTCATAGCTTCCCAAAGCATCCGATATTGAAAGAATAATCTTGGCTAGTGCTTTTTTGATGCGATATAATTTTGTTTTCCCCTTTAGATTCAATATTACAGCTTGCATTCTGCGATGGAAGCTGGATCCCTCTCATGGATCGCGCGCGGTGGATTTTCTTCGGCGCGATTGATTCTGACCATTTCTGAATTTGCCAGTGTCCATTAATTCTATTGAGGTTCTATGGGCTCCAACCTGGGCTTCTCTTGTTTGCAGTCACGCAGTCACGGTGGGCGTCGGGGTGCTCCTGAAGCTGTTTGACACTCATTGCTCTGTCATATGACGCTTTACGACACGAGATATGATGCTGTATGACATCATATGGCTTGATATGAAATGTTGTGACATGATATGACGCTTTATGACATCATACGACACCGTATGACATGTCAACGACATGCCACCAAAATAATAGTCCGTGATTCTTCCCAAATCATGTAAAACCGCGATTGTTTTGTTAATGTTGAAACGCATGTGGAAACATGAACTGTGTGTGGAATGCTTGACCATAATGGCATGTGCCATTTTGGCTCAAGCATTGCTCTGGGTTCCTGGAACCCATTCGAACTTAACCCCGACCAAGCAATGGCTTCCTCGGCAACCTCGGCAACTTCCTTTGAGTTGATTGAGGACCAGACACTCACCGTGGAGGAGGTTGAAATGGCCAGCCAGGAGGCCCAGGACATTCGCACACGGGAGGCGGCAGTGGCGGCCGGCTTGGTTTTGGACGAGCCCGAGGCCCCCCCGTCAGCTTCGGCGACCGATGTGATGAATGACCTCTCCAGTGCACTGGAGCGTCTCCAAGTGGCATTTGCCACACCGACTCCCGGCTTGGGTGCCCTGGCCCCGCCGAGGAGGGCGACAGGGACATGGGGGATGCGGACGGCACGGAGCGGGCCACACCACCGGAGGAGGCGCAGACGCCACCCACGAAGAGACTGAAGGGCTTTGTGGCGGCTTCTCAGAAGGCTACGTCTCAGGCCAACAAACCTGTCACCTTGGTGCCGGTGGACGGAAAACCTGGGTACTTCAAGCTGGTGGACCTCCCGGACTTGTTTCCAGTCCTTCCAGCGTCGGCGGCCACCTTGCTGAGAGACATCACGGTGGAGGAGGCGGTCTCCCTGTTTTACAAGTTTGTTGGGAAGAACCTCACGGAGGACCTGGTGATCCGCATCTTGGAGGCGTACGTCCCGATGAAGATCCAGCTCCGCCAGGAGGAGGTCTGGGCTTCGCAGTTCCAGAGGAACAAGGCGTGTATCGGCACCCAGCGCATGTACAGGCTCGACGCAGGTCATTCCGACTACAAGTTCATGTGCAAGGCATGCGGAACGGGGTGGCCAGAGGCAGCCAAGCAGTGCTGGGTCTGCCCCGGCAAGGAGTCCGCCCCCTTCCAGGCACCCTCGGCCACCTATGAGGCGGACGGCATCACCTACAACCTGCTCATCTTGGAGGGCAAGCCAATCTGGATCCAGCAGCGGGAATGGGGAAGCCTGGGTGCCGTTGGCCCCGGTGGTACCCTGGCACAGGCCGACCGCAACTTGGTGGACGGCACGGTCTTGGGGAGAGCCCCTCCAAAAACGGACTCGGCTGATGAGATCACCATGGCAGATGCGGTCCCGCTTAACATGCGGGTGGACATCCGGCAGGAGATCCTGTCCATGGAGGCGGATGACGAGGCGATGAAGGTCCGGGAAAGCCAGGAGATCCGGGTCAAAGTGCAGCGGTCCCTGAAAGAGGCGGAGGCTCAGAGCTTCGAGCTCTACCATCCCCAGGTGGACCAGGCGATCAGGAAGAAGGAGGAGCTGCATAAGGCCTTGCGGGAGCAGCGGGAGCCGACTCCGGAGGAGGCCTCGGCCAGGCGGCTGCACAAGGAGTTGGTCACTGAGGAGATGCTGGACAACGAGATGGCGATCCTGGCGCCCCTCCAGGAGGGCATGCAGGCCCTGCCGTCAGATGAGGTGGCCAACGAGGGAGCCCGTGCCCTCAGGAAGGTCAACCTGGAGCGTTTCAAGGCCAAGCTGAGAGACCAGTACTTGGAGGGGAAGGGCGTTGACGCCAGCCAGGCATTGGCTGAGGCGATGGGCTCCATTCAGGAGGCCCAGGCGGCAAACAAGCGAATCCAGGACACCAACCAGGCATGGATGCTCAACCACACTCTCAAGCCCTTGGAAGTGTCGGCGTGGCCGGATGATCTCAGGAAGGTCCTGGAGAGGGGCTCCATCCGGTGGGGGACATCAAGGAGAAGTATGTCCCCTACATCAAGATGCTCAGAGCGTCGCAGAACCCGTGGCACCGGCCCCCCCCAAGGGTGCCACCGGCCCCTGGGGGGGACCAGCCCATGTCCCAGCAGGACCTGGACTCTGAGGACGGCAAGCTGTCCCTTATCCTCTGGGCAATGAAGCGGCACCAGGGAGAGCTCCGGATGTTTGGGGGGGTTTGGAGGAAGCACGCAAGCGGTGAGATCCCCCGGGGCGCTGACCAGCAGTTTAAGCTCGCGCCGGAGGAGCTCCTGGCCCTTGAGCGCAGGACTCACCCATGCACGTGCGAGCAGGACCACATCGACCCAGTCATCTACACGGCCTTGGAGATCCGGGCTCAGGTGAACCGGGGTGAGCGCCCGGCACCTGAGCAGGTGGTTGGTATCTTCTGGGCAAGGGGTGATGGGGTGTTTTGGACCAGACAGACGAGAACGTGGGACCTGCCGAGGGTGACGGGAGTGTACGCCCACAGGTTCACATTTAAGTATATCTACTCGGCCTGGACCACCTTCCCGTTGATTGTGAAGACGCAACGCCGGGCGCAATGCGGAGGGCTTGACCTCGGACAAGTGGATGGGCAACATTATCCAGATGAGGAAGGAGGCGGTGCCCTTCCTGGAGAGCCTGGGCATCCCCAAGCCGCACAGCAAGGAGGAGTGGAGTTACATCTTCAAGGAGATGGGGACATTCTTGGCGGCAAAGAATTTCATCGTGAACTGCCCGTTGCCCGTGATGGAGATGCCGGTGGCCCCCATCCATGACAGTAAGGAGGCGCTGCGGTTCAGGGCAATTTGCGACGAACGGATCACCCTGCCGTGAAGGCCTTCGACTCGGTCTACACCAAGTTGGTGGCGGGCCTGAGCAAGTCGTCGATGGTGGAGGTGAAGATGTGGTCCACGACTGGGTGCAGGTCCCGCAGGAGGCGGCGGGGGCCTTGTATGACAGGTTGGGCTACTCCCAGGACCTCATCCGGCAGCTGGGTTGCTCCCCCCCCTTGGGGGGGAGCGGCCAAGGAGGCGGACCCAAAGGCCAAGGTCTTGGGGGGGCAGACACCACGCTCCGCACCCCAGACCAGGGCACCAGGCGGTACCCGCCCATCGCCACGGCCACGGTGACGGCGGTCGCGGGCCAAAAGTACGTCAACAAGCACTTCCCCAAGGAGGCGAAGCATGTGTTTTGGGGCTCCGTGGAGTGTGGCTTGGTCTTGCCAAGCATCAGTGCCTGGGAAGTGGTGAGCAAGGAAAAGTTCAAGACCACGGGGGGCTATATGTGCAGATTTTGCAAGGGCTTTTGGAAGGCGAGCCGCGGGGGGACCAGGCTGCTCCAGATCACGGGGTGGCACAGGGATAAGGCCACCTGCTTGCAGTTGGTGATGGACGAGCCCCCGGAGCAGCTGTACAATC